AACCATGCTCCCCACCCTGTCCCCAGGCTTTCTGTGAGTCCCTGGTCATCTCCAGTGAAGAACCTCAAGTTGGTGTAGATTCTGTAGCTCTGAGAGGTTTTCTGTTCTTCTGCTGGTCACATTCAGCTGTTAGCAACTTATTAAAAATCTTAGCTGGATTCTTCTTACTAACTTGTATGCATCTAGAAGCAGGCACCCTGGCTGAGCAAGTGCCCATGGCCCATTCCTTCTCGGAGGTGCCTGTCTTTCCTTAGATTTCAAGTTAGTTGGTTGACCTGCAACCTCAGCTCTCCAATAGGTTCAAGAAAAGTTGTGGATTTGCAGATTTTCTGGCAGATCATCAGGTACTTGATTAAGGCCTAAAATATCAAAGAGAAAGAGATGAAAAGCCAACTGAATGACACGACTCAGTAGTAAACAGAGAAATTGGAGAACAAACCATCAAAGAGCAAGAGAAAACTCTTGTACATTAAGTATATTTATTTGTTAAGAACATTTTGCATTTCCAAAGTTTCACATTTTAGCTTGAACTGAGCTGGGAATGAATACACGATGCAGGTGACTGTTGGTTTTCATTGACATCCTCTCTGAATTATATAATTCATAACCATGCTCGTTTGTTATTTTAACAAAAATATTATTATGAAGTAAGGGAAGGGACACAACATCTTATCACTGTCACGAGCAATAAGCAAAGCATCCCAGTTCTATGTTGCTGGTTGCTGCTGAGATTTGGAGACACATCATCAAAACAACAGAATCCATATCTGTCCCACGGAGAACACTGGTATCAGCGCCTCTCCAAGAAACAGAAAGTAGAAGTCTGAGAAGGGCTGGCTCATTGTGATCTTGGCATTTCTTTTTCTTTTTCTTTGCCTTTTTCTTTGCCTCTGCCTTTGCCTTCCTTCCCTTCCTCTTTCTTTTTTCTTTCCTTCTTTCCTTCTTTCTTTCTTTCCTTCTTCCTTTCTTCCTTCCTTCCTTTCTTCCTTTCTTTCTCTTTCTTTCTTTCTTTCTTTCTTTCTTTCTTTCTTTCTTTCTTTCTTTCTGTCTGTCTGTCTGTCTCTTTCTTGTCATTTTTATGCCTCTCGTTAACCTATTAGATAACTAAAAAATTTGAGTTGCTCTTGGCACCAAGTCCATTAGTATTCATATAATTAAGTTGGGTGAGATGAGCCGTGCTAGTAGGTCTCACATGGCGAGATTGCTGCCCAGACAAGCAGAAACATGGCAGCGGTCACAATCCACACTGGCTTCAATCAAGCTTCATTCCAGTAAGCACTTTACCATCTCCTGACACCCAACAGTTACCTGGGTTGGAATCAGAGTTCCCAGACAGCCCAGCACCCCTACGCAATCTGAGCCATGTCAGGGTTTCCTTGTCTTGTCTTCTCTTAAGTCACTTTCTTTAAGCAAGCACTTCCAGAAATACATTTATAGAAAGAAAAGAGTCATAAGGACACCATGTGTAATATTTTAGCTGTGAGTGAATTCCTTAGACACTTAGTTGCTTAGAACTTCATTTGAAGAAGTAACTAGCTTTTAGTTACTCTAAGATGAAGTCAGATCAAGCCAAAGGTGAAACTCTGGAAATGCAAATGTTGTTACCAGCTTAAAGGAGGCAGGAAAGTGTCAAAATCTGGATTGCTGGTTCCCACACTGGCCTAGTTGCTTATCAGAGCAACAAAAAAAAATTCATAAAATTTCATGTATCTTCAAATAAAGAGATAAATAAAAACCAGAAGCTCTAACCAAAAAAACAAAAAAACAAAAAACAAAAAACAAAAACGGAAAACTGAACGGTGACCCACTGAGGAAAGTCTGATGTTACAAAATGATACATAGTCTATAATCTCCCCTCTTCCTGAAGAATTAGGGGTTGAACCTGACAGGGTCCTGAACAGAACAACGCTTTGCAAAGAAAGGGTTCCTACTGCTTCCGGAGATGGGGAGAGAGCACAGCCAAGTTCTCCTGAGGTCAGAAGTTTCTAGTTGGTCAGCAGCCTCCCTGAATTCCAAGCCTCCCCCTTTGCTAGGTGGGAGGAAGAGTTTTCTCTTGCAAAGCTGCCAAAGCAAGGGTTTTCCATGCAGATGAGCTCCTAACCACAGCCAATGGAGAAAAAAATTTAGTATTTTCTTTGGGCAGGAAAAACATTCTTCCAGCACATAAAAAAATTGTGTTCCCTCCATCCCATTACTGAGGATGTGTGTGAGAGCAGCCTGTAAAGCTGCTGATTAGCCTGGAGGAGCTGTGTGGATGGAAATTAGGAGGAAGGGCTCTCTGCAGGGAGGGTACAGCTCAGTGGTAGAGCACATGCTTAGCATGTGTGAGGTCCTGGGTTCAATCCCCAGTACCGCCTGTAAAAGTAAGTAAACCTAATTACTTACCCCCCTACCAAAAAAAAATAACAATAATAACAATAAAGTTTTTTAAGAAAAGAGGCCAGATCATCTGGGTTCAAATCCTGCCTCTTTACTCTTAAGTGGAAAATCGTTACCCAGTGTGCCTCTGATATGTTCATGTGTTTAATGAGAATAATAAAGTTACAGTGAGGACTAAGAAAATCACTGCCTGCAGAGTGGGGCCTGGGTCATAGAAAGCAGTCCCCAGACACTCTGAGCTATCATTTCAGCAGCAGACTTTCCACACCTGAATGGCTGGCTCGCGACTCCCAGTCAGCAGAGCCGGAGAGTCCCTGCAGGATGTTTGTTAGCTGAGCCTCTTCAAAGCCTCTACCCCATAAAGGATTTTCCTCAATCATATCATCTTCTGGTCTTTGAGGTTCCTGGCTGCTCTGTGGCCCCACTGTGAGGACCTAGGGAATCTAATTGGATGCTTCACGTACCGCATACACTGTGATTCATTTCCCCCCAACGTGAATATCTAAGCAAATATAAAGGAGGCCCAGCACTGCGGGACATGATCTAAACCTCGGGCAGGAGCACCACCCCAGCTTCAAGGGACAAAGATTTTGATCATCAAGTGCTTTCTACTGAAAGATTTACAATCAAAAGGGGAAATGATGGAAAAACCTGCACGTATTGAGTTGTTGGGAAGTCACTCTGGCTCATACATGGTTTAACTTAAACTTTACTGACCAAAGTGGCCTGTTTTGTGGTCTTTTGGACACGCATTGTACATCTGCTTTGGCCTAGAGGAGGGGAATGCATTCAGAAGTCAGAATGGGGTAGCTGTGGTTCAGACATCCAAGGGAAAAGTAGGTGGCCGTTTTGGACGTGATTTCAAGCATATTCCTGTATTGCTGAGAACTCGAATTTCATGAGCCACGTCATCCTCAGAATGCCACCAGCCATTCTGAAAGCAGCATCTGCTGGCCAATGGCAGCTGCAACCTTATGACCTCAAGGCCTCCTCTTGTAGCTATTAAATTTTTAAACAATAAAGTTGCTTTAGTTCATATGTTAGCAGAAAAAGGAAACATGCAGTAGCCATCAGCTCCTGTTACGTATATGTTTAATACCACATCAAAAGTTAAAACCTACTTGGATAAAAGTGGACAACTGGCTACCTGGCTATAAGTCTCCCCCAGAGTGCCAGGTCCAGACTGATTTTCAGGCTTACTCTCCTGAATACCTCAGGGAATGAGATCTTAATCATATGAGACTCTGATCCAGGACTTGGACTATTTCTGACTCGGTGTCCATTCCCCAAGTCGAGGTAGGACTATGGCCTGTTTCAGTAGGAAGCAGCCAGAGTGGTTGTCACCCCGTTCCCTGAAAGATATCGGAAGGGGTGAAATAGGATTGGAGATTGAAACCAAGTTCCCCTGCCAAGTTTATGATTAACCTCTCTATCCAAAACATTATCCTCCTTCTTGTCCAACACCTGTTCTGCTCAAGATTGAGGAATAGCTAAGAAAAGTGGGGAATCGAAACCCAGCAGGACCTGGGACAAACTCCTCCCCCATATCCTCTGCTGCAGCTCCTCTCTGAAGTACCCAGATAATAGTATCTCATGCATAGTTCCTGTGCTTTTCAGATACTAAAAACCACCACCAAATGGAAGAAATTAACCACTTGATGATCATGAGCGTGTAGCCCCCAGACCTTCTGGTGCCTAAGGATTGATCACCATCAACCACAATCCATCAACCAATCAGAGAATGATGCACGTCCCTCCCTCAGCTGACCTTTAAAGATGCTCAGCTGAAACCCTTCCGGGAGTTTGGGGTTTTTTGGGGGCATGCGCCACACATTCTCTTCATTTGGCCCAGCAATAAACCTTTCTCTGCTCCGAACTCCGACGTTTCAGTTTGTTTGGCCTCACTCTGCGTTGGGCACACGAACCTTGCGTTGATAACATCTCCAAATGATGAATCTTTCCCTCTTCCTCACAGGTAACCACTGTCCTGACTTCTAATGCTACAAATTTTGGTTTTGGTTTTGAACCTCATGTAAAGGGAATTACAGAGAGTGACTTACGTCTTGTTTCATTCATTTAGTGTTCGAATTGTAACGATCGCCTATGCAGTTGCATGGAGGCGTATTTTACTCTGAATTTTTGTTTCAGCGTCATTTGGCACACATACGTGAGTGTTTCTGATGCGTATATAGCTGGGCGGAAATGATGAATCACAGGGAATATGTACATTCAAACTTAGTAGATAACAAAAAATGATTTTCCGTGGTATTTGTACCACAGTGTACTGACTCAGCCATGGATAAGAATTTCGGTTGTTCCGTATCCTCACTAAAACTGGGTATTGCCAGTTATTTTATTTTTCATTTCAGTCACTCTAGGGTTTGAGTAAAATTCTCTCACTGGGATTCTAATTTGTACTTCTCAGATGATTAATTGTATAAACCATCAGATGCTTAATTAATGAATCTCAGAGGCTTGTGAGAAATCTTTTTAAAATTTATTTTCTATTGAAGTGTAGTTGATTTACAATGATGTGTTAGTTTCAACAAAGTGATTCAGTTATACATTAGCTATTCTTTTTCAGATTCTTTTCCATTGCAGGTTATTACAAGATACTGAATATAGTTCCCTGTGCTAAAAAGTAGGTCCTTGTGAAATCTTTTTTTAAACTATTAAGATGACTATGATTTTTCCTTTTATATTGTAAATACAATAGACTGGATTGATTTTTCAGAAGTTTAACTTTTCACTCCTGGAATAAACCCAATTTGAAAATCTTATCAAATTCAAGTTAATACTTTGTTAAGGATGTGGCACATGTGCCACAAAAACTGACCAACAGTATTCTTCCCAGTAGTGTTCTTAGGTTACACTTACACTGACATTCTAAAACAAGATTCAAAAGGTTACTGTTATCTTTTCCTTAAATGCTCGGAAGAATTCACTGGTGGGGTCATCCAGGCTCGAGGTTTTGCTTCATTTTGTTTTGTAGGAAGATGTTTCTGTTACTCACTTCTTATTAAGCAAGACACACAGGTGCCTTGTTAGACATCTGTCGAGGTTTGCTTTTTGAACCAGTATATGGTTTGGGTATTGTTCTGTGTACACTTGAAAAAATTGCCTGTTCTGACGTCGTTGAAAGCAGCGTGCTATGTAAGTCAATTAAGTCAAGGTTGATCGTTGTGTTGCTCAAACACTGAATATCCTTAATATCTATTTTGTCTGCTTGTTCTGTCAGTGAGAGAGATGTGATAAAACCTTAGAATTGTCGTATTTGCTTGATGGACTGAACATTTCACCATTTAGAAATGTCCCTCCTTATCTTTAATTACCTGGAAATCTACTTTGTTTCATGTTAGAATTGCTTTACCGGCCTTTTCTTTGTTAATGTTTACAGTGACCTATCTTTTTGGTTTTGTTTTTTGGTTGGTTTTTTTGGGGGGGAGGTGGCTAGGTTTATTTATTTATTTATTTTAAGGAGGTGCTGGGGATTGAACCCAGGATCTCGTGCATGCTAAGCATACGCTCTACCACTGAGCTGTACCCTCCCCCCTGCAGTGACCTGTGTTATCTACCCTATCATTTAAATATTTTGCAATTTTTAAAGATTTGCCTTTCACAGGCAGCCTGTATTGTTGTTGTTGTCCTGAAGATCCTTGTCTTTTAAGTGGGGTAATTCAGCCATTTGTGATGACTCTAATTATTGATATATCTGGATTTACATGAACCATCTTACTATTTGTATTATACTTGCATTACATGTTTGGTGTTCATTTTATATCTCTTATTCTCATTTTAATTATTTTGGCTTACTCCATTGCCTCCCTTTTATTAACTCGTCCTATATTCTTTACTATTTGTAGCTAATAAGATTTCAATTCAGCCTGAAGAATCTCCTTGAACGTTTCTTGCACTGCAAAACTGCTGGGAATATATTCTCTTGATTTTTCAGCTATCTAAAAGTGTCTTTATTTTGTCTTTATTCTTGAAGGATATTTTCACTGGATGTAAAAATTCTGGGTTAACAAGCTCATTTTCAGTTTTAGCACATCAAAGGTTTGTGTTCAAGCGCATGGTGTTTGAGAAGCAGTGGTTACTGAAGTGGTTGTTCCCGTATAGATAACAGATTGCCTTTTACTCTGGGTGCTTTTGTAATTTTTTCTTTATCTTTGGTTTTCGGCAGTTTGGCTGTGATGTGCCTAGACGTGGTTTTATTCATATTTATCTTGCTTTGGGTTTCCTGAGCTTCTCAAATCTATATAAGTATGTGTTTCACCAGATTTGGGGAAATGCTAGCCTTGAGGTCTATTATTTTCCCCTCGTTCTTCCTCCTCTTCCCTTCTGAAACTCGTTATATGTAGGTGAAATCTTTGCCATTGTCCTGTAGATGCCTGAGCTTCTATTTGTTTTTCAGTCTTTTTCCCCCTGTTCTTCATAGTGGATTAATGTCCATTGATTTAGCATCATTTATACTGAATCTTTTTCCTGTGAACTTTTTATTTTGGTATTGTATTTTTTAGTCCTGGAATTCCCATTTGGTCATATTTATAAGATACTCCAATTTCTCAAAGACTTCTTGTCCTTTCCCTTATTATGATCATATTTTGTTTTATGTTGAGTGAGTTATAGTATCCAATTTAAATTTCTTGCCTACTAATTCTAACATCCGGATCATCTCAGGACCAGTCTCTGCTTATAGTCTTGTCTTTTGAGATTCAGTTATGTTTTCCCGATTATTCATAAGTAATTTGGGGCTGTGTCCTGGATATTGTGACAGTTTTGTTGTGGAAACTCTGAGTTCTGTTAAGTGCCTCCAAAAAGTGTTGATTAACTTGCTTCCATTCAAATGGCACTCTGTTGACTGTGTGGCAACTCAAAATTCATTTCAGCAGTTTTATCTTGCAGACTGCCCTGCGCACGCATCGTTCAGGGATTTGTTGAAGAGTTAGGGAGAGTTTAGACTTAGAATTTGAGCCTTCTCTCTGGCTCAGCTTCTGGGATTCCTCCCTCACTTTCCAGGGGTCGTCATTGCCCTGAAGTCTGTCCTCTGGTTATTTGGAAGACTGCAGGGTTTCTATCAAAGTTTTACTCACCCTATGTGGTACAGACTGGGGCGTACCCTAGGTTAAATTGGGCATACCCTATAATAAATTGATACCTTTTTCTGTGCCACTATCTTAACCCAGGTGTCAATTTCCCTTCAGACTCCGCCTATTTCTGCTTACTCTCCAGTGCCTTTTGGTTGTCGTTTATTTTTAATTTCTCTGTAGTAATTTATAGTTGCTACCTGTAGGTGTGGTTGCTTTTTAAGATTTTCTGTCTTTGTTTTTTCAGAAGTTTTATTTGTATGTTTTACTCGTTTGGTTTCTTTCTATTTGTCCTGCTTGGGTGTTCGTGAACTCTTTAGTTGGGGCTTGTTGCCTTTCATTAGTTTTGGGAAGTTCTTGAACATTATTTCTTTAAATATTGCTTCTTATACTTTCTGTCTCCTCTTTTTCCAGGACTTAAATTATGTGTATTTTAGACCTTCTTACTGTGCCATAAATCTCTTGACTTGTCTCTATATTTTCTACATTTTTTTTAAGTTTCTCTGTGCTTTCAATTTTTTCTGCCGTATCTTCCAGTCACTAATTCTATGTAGTGATTAATCTCCTGTTAAATCCAATCCACCGAGTTGTTAATTTCATCTAATTGAGTTTGCCAGTTCTAGAATTTCCTTTTGATTCTTTTTTATAGTTTCCAGTTCTCTGCTGAAATTCTGTCTCATAAATATTCATTTATAGTTTTTTAGATTCCATGTCAGATAACCCTAATATCTGAATTTCCTGTGAGCTTTTTTTCTATTGATTTTCTTCCCCTTAAAAAAAACTTGTCATTTTGTAGGCCTGTTTTTTTTTTTTAATGATTGCTGACACTATGTACAAGAAATTTAGACATAGTATGAGGTTCTGTATACTATTTTTTAACTAATAAAAGAAAGTTTTATTTCAAGGCTTCAGTAGTCTTATAGATATCCAAAAATGGACATCAAAAGGCAGAACAAAGAGCTGGGAAAATGGGTTGTGGACCTGGAACTGTGGGGACCAAAACTGCCCCATCCATCTCTCTGGGAACTACACATCTCATACCTGCTTCTTATTGCTACTCTCTGCTCATCAGCTTTTACATCTGACTTGCTGACATGTAAACGATGTAAGATGTCAACTTACACCAAATCTGCGTGACATTATAGATCTCATACTCACCTATATTCACCTATTTCCTCCTATTTCCATATATCTTAGTTCAAATTCCTGAGGAAGAGACTATGAAAGATTCAGCTGAGTCTGTGGATAGGTACCTGTCAGGACAGGTGTGTACCCCAGGTCCACTCAGCCATGGCTGGAGATGTGTGATCTCACATGTTCAAAAAAGGCAGCAAGATCATGCTTAGAAGTAAGACTCAGAAGAAACCAAAGATTCTCATACCTTGTAGGAAAACATTCATGTCAGCATCTAGATTTTGTGTTATTTTCTTCGTCTGTTAGCTTAAGGTAAATCACATCTCTTTGCTTTCAATTTGAATTCTTTTTTTTCATGAGTGAATAGAATTTTACTTCATGAAGCATATCACTCACAGATGATATATATTTCCAAAGATAATTTAATTCTAGTTCCGTCAGGCAGTTAGATTCAGGCAATTACCCTAATCTCATGAGGGACTGAACTGATTTGGAAATGAGCTTTAATCCTGTGAGTACTGGTCTACTTCGAGCTCATTCTTACTCACAGACCCCGTCGCTTCTCAGGGTCCTGACCAGAAGTCTGGGGGTTTACCAGAGCCCATCCTCCTTGGCAGACTCTGAACTCTAATGTTGTCACCCTCATCCCAGTGAGACCTTGAAAAGGTCTTCTGAGTCCCTCAACCTCTGCTTTCACTTTCAGAATTGACAATGGCCAGAAGGGAAAAAGATGTGTCTCGAGTACGAGGCTCATCTCCCCGGATGAGCAGGAGGTTGTCCAGGACACCTTAGCCACTGCAGGAAGCCCAAGTTCACACGT